CCGAAAAAAAAATCGCACAGATGCAGGTCTGAAGCCCAAAAGAAAAAACCCTGATACGAGTAACAACTAACAAAAGAGCTCAATACAACCGTAGAGCAGACCAAACTTTCCCTGACGATCCGTTTAGGTGAAACCTAGGTAGGTTTGTCTGGCTCACTAGGTGTATATATATATATATATATATATATATATATATATAGATATATATATATATATATGATAATATTAATAAAATATCTTTAGAATATTGTTTTTTGCGTTCGGAAAACTGAGCAGATATGAAAAATTCGAGAGTCTATGACGCGAAGGATGTCGCTTGAAGACACTATGCAACCTTATACTATTTACATTATTCGGTCTGTTATCCTCATCTTCATTGCCATATTAACAACGTTTCGGACATTGTAGGCTTCGGCCATCTTCAGGTGATTGTAGTTTCCTTTACCGGTCGGCAATCAACACAGCGTCATCTACATATCTTACATTGTTACTAGCTTAAAAACGACACACCGTACAGACTTTTAAGGTAGCTCCTGTGTAGGGCTAATCGGGCCTCCACACTAAATCAAAAGGGACCTCTTATCCAGTTTAGAAAACAGCAATTATGATTATGAAGAAATGACTTTAAATTCCACGATTCCCTCCATGGAACTTCAAAAGCTCACTTTAACTCTGATCGGTCTATGTCCAATTCCGGCCAAAAGACTGATTTGGGCCGAAACTCCGATTTGGACCGAAATTTCAATTCAGGCCGAATATCGAGTTCTTCAAATCATAAAATCCGTGGAACTGATTTTCTAAATTCATGAAGTTGTGGAGATATTTTAAATTGAACTTAAAGCAATTTTTTTTTAATTCAGTTTTTTGAATTTTTAACCGTTCCATCCTCACCTGGGTACAAATCCCGATGCTGGATGTTCAAGCACTAGATGAAGGGTAAATTTTCAATCCCGAGATAATCCAGATTCCGAAAAAGTATAAAATGTCTATGTAGAGCAAGTGTGGAATAAGTTGGAAGAATTTCTCACACACGGACGGACAGAATTTGTTGTTTATTCATTTCGAAGATTATTCCTGCCTAAAATAAATCATTCCAGGATTTACAGTTACCTTAGTGTGTCACGCTCGAGCAAGTATGGGCAAATTATTTGTAAACACAGTCCATCATAAGGCGGGCCACACTAGTAAAAACAAATCAATGTAATTTTTCATTAAAGATATCGCAGCCATTTTCCCAACATAAGCGCATGCGCATAAGCATCTGCCTTAGAAATTGAGAAAAGTCGATTTTTTTTTCTTTAGAGAAAAGATTCCTTCTATAATTAAAAAAAATGAAGTCTTGGTGTGCCATTATCACTGGTGACAAACTAATTAACACACACTGCTGCCTGTGATTTGTCTCTAATTTATTTATTGGACGTTACAAAATTCATTTGAGATCTTTAAAATAAGTATATTTATTTTCTAGAGAAAAATAATTACCATTACCTTTTCCTGTCTCTGAAGCAAAAGTTGTTTACACTTATGATCTTCCTTAGTGACAATTGGCAATCGTTTAAAATGTTGACGACGTTAGCTTCAACGAAAACTTACAAAATTCACGAAACCTTGTGTGTAATAATTCTTTATTTATTTGGTTGAGCATGAGAGAATGTGTGAGTGAATAAGTGAGAATGAAAGGAAAAAATCACCATTTAAATAAGCGTTCTTTTCCTCATGAATTTAGGCGGGCCATTCAGAATATCAATCGGGCCACTTGTGGCTCGCAGGCCGCAGTTTTCCCTGGACTGATTTACACAGAAACTAGCGCCGTAGCGATGGGTTCAGCTCTTGCATATTGCATATCCGTCTTTGGATTTTGTCCTAACCTCGAGATGAACAGCGGGACTATAAATGGCGACTGTATTACATGCAGAATAGTAGATGTGAAGGATGGACTCAGGCGAGAAATACCTTCTGTCGCGACACAGAGAACCAACTTTCCCTGCTGTAGATGAAGCTGTTGATTCAATGTAGTTGTTCAACCTCAGGTCAATGAAAAACGTGAGACCAAGCAAGCGCAGGTAGACGCTCTCGTGGAACTGAGCATCAACCTTACTGATAGAAAGCAGGGAGGTTTTTTCTATGGTGAGTAAATGGCAGCAGTTTCGTTTTGGTTGCATTAAAATTCACAAGCCATTTCCTGTCCCAGTCAACCAGAGATTGGAGATAATTCAGATTTATTAAATTGCGCCATCTTGACACGAATGCCCCTTTTTGCAGAAAGTTCTGTGGTTTTTCTCCTAGCAACCTTGTGAGAAACTCGGTTTCTTTGTAAGGCAGATTGAGAGCATAGTTTCAAGGCTCCATGCACCAACGTGTTAATCAGGTACAGTTTTTGCCTTCTAAAATAAAATCGAGTCCCAGTGAAGGTTTGCTTAGGGTATATAGAGGTAAAAAACACACAATAAGAAGGTGGAGTAATGGATAGTGGCTCGGATTGAGGAATCGTAGAGTCAAGTTCGAATTCCAGTCGAATCCATTACATTAACTTACGTGCTAATACCCTTGGGAAAGGTATGAATCCTCTTCTTCTCCCTCCAGTTATGGGTAAATAGCAAGGCAGACTGAGTTATATAGGTATGGATGGCAACTGGTGTACCGCAGAAAGAAAATGCGGGAAAAAATCCAGCCTTGTCAGTATCTTTCGATACATGACTGCCTAAGCGTGTATCACGCATGGCACATAACTGTAATCTTTCTTGCTAATCGTTTAAAATGCTGACGACGTTATCGTCAACGAAACAGTTACAAAATTCACGAAACCTTGTACTTAACTGTTGCTTATGTATTAGTTATGCATGAATATGTGAGTGAACAAGTGAGAAAGAAAATAAAACAAACAACATTTTAATAAACATCATTTTCCTCATGAAATTAGGCGAGCCATTCGGAATTCCAATTGGGCCGCATGTGGCTCTCGGGACACAGTTTACACTAAAACTGACAGCATAGTGGGTTCAGTACTTAGTCAGACTATTTCTACATGTGTCATATGGAAAACAAAATTTTCACTAATTCCTCCTAGACTCCCCACCTTATAATTCTCAACCAACTTCTTTGTTGATTGAATCCTCTCCAAGGTTCAGATGAAAAAGGTAAATTGTCACGATGGAGAGTTTAGCGGGAAGGGTTAATTTTGTTGTATCAAAAACTATATAAAACAATTGAAAATTAACCCGGCGACCTTATTCGTTATTTTCTTATGTTATTTTTTTATTTTCGCCAGCGAAAGTGTTCTTTGTCCTTTTGTTGTACGGTTCCGCCTATGTTCGACCCAACCGCCGCGGTTCTCTTTTCCCATGCACTTTCAATATAATCCAAGATCATCATCAGAGTGAATTGCTAAGATAAAACCCCCTTTTTACATGTTCGTAACAGTTAATTTTTAAATTGACTATAACAGAGCGCGTTTTATGCGCATTTACAAAAAAATCACAACTAATTAATTTTTTGTCTCACACGAAGCCTATTTAATTTCGTTTGCCTAGGACATATAGTTCACATTTTAAATTACTGTATATAGTCGCGGACCATGCGATTTTTGAAGACCTAATTTTGAAGCTAATTTTAAGAGGGTCACATCATACACAAGATATACAATTAGCGTATGTACTGCTGACCCTGACTACGCCGTTGACCAAACTATATATCCATTTACTGTATTCGAAAATTAGAGCTGTATTTAAAATAAACATGATTTTGATAAAATCGATGTTTTACTTAACTGTATCCATAATAATGGATATAAAATTCACATCCAAGGACGAAAGTTTGAAGCACCCAATGAGGATCGAACACACAGCTCAGTCGTAATTGATATAGACAGACAAGCTTGTTAACCATTACACCACGTCGAAGTGTTCAGTGTTGTTAATTATGAACTTCTAGAAAACCTACCTAATTTTACCGAACGGAATATGTGTTCATTATGTTTAGCTTTACAACAAACAATGCGTTTTCTTTTCGCGTATCATTCAAATATTTCATCTCTATTCTTCAAGGAAGGCATGTGTCTAAACTCCCTTGTTTATGTGTAAAAAGCACGACAGGTTTAGTTCTTCTCGCCTGGAAAGCTGGTCAGCTAAAAGAAAGTTGATCTGATAAAAAAATAAATTAAATTAAAATTAATAAAAATGACAGATTATCGGTTTCCATGGACTGTCCGAAACTCAGCTGTGAACTGGCGAAGGGTTGGGAGTTGAACCAACAACTCGGCTCCGTAAAAACCTATAATTGTCATCGGAATAATCAATAAGTCTCCAATGAACGAATTTCATATCGTTCAAAATAGAGAGAAAACACCGCCCACGATTCTTCGAACGACCTGTGTTACGACGACGGGAAGACCAAAATAAAATAAGAAATAATATCGATGCAACGGGTTTCCAAGATGTTTCTAAAAGTGTCATCGCTATATTGACGAAAATATATTTTTTCTTCGCTCTCTTCAATTTGAAGTCAAAATATATTGACTGCATTCTACTGACATCCATTAGTTAAGTGTTTCTCTTTCGTCTGCTGCCATTTGAAAACGGCTGAACAAGTCGCAAGTAAATCACGGCCGGAATTTTTTTTTCCACTCAAATCGTAGCATACAAGAGGGGATCAATAATTTTGTGGCTTGACATATTTATTAGCTGAGTTTCTATTCATAATTCTCGATTTAACAGAGAAGTGCTTCGGGATTAAGTGCATTGACAAAGAAGAAGATTATATTGAAAAATAAATGCGTTTTAAATAATCAGACTTACTGACAGATCCACGGTTAAATCAATAAGTCCGTAACCTGATATATTTACTAACCAAATTGTGATCTGACACTTTAAATTATTAATCTTCGAACTGTGAAAGCCATATCGCATTGAAACACTTTGAAACAAGTTAAGCAACGTCGAGCCCCCTCAGTATCTAGATGGGTGACCGCTTGGATGCGCGATTCGAATAAACTACAGCGAAAATCGCTTTGAAACACCGGTCCTCATACGATCACCGAAGTTAAGCAATGTCTAGCCTAGTCAGTATGTAGATGGGTGACTGCTTGGGAATACCAAGTGCTGTAAGCTTGGATGTGCAGGTGGTGTAACGGATAATGGCTCAGAAAGAAAATCGGAGAGCCGAGTTCGAATTACCGTCTGCTTCGTTGCTCACTTAGGAAAGGCATGAATCCAACTTTTCTCTCCTCGGCTATGGGTTAATTAGTAGGTAGTGTATTAGGAAAAAAAATATTATCGTCAAAAATTCGTTTAGTCTAAAATATTGTCTTGCTTTATAAAAAATATTAAAACATATTTCAATATACGACCCACTATGTTTCGCTTGTTAGCTGCCATTTGAAAACGTCTGAACAAGTCGCAAGTAAATCCCACCCGGAATTGTTTTCGACTCAAAATGAAGCATAAGAGAGGGGATCAATAATTTCGTGGCCTGACATATTTATTAGCTGAGTTTCTATTCATATCGATTTAACAGAGAAGCGCTTCGGGATTAAGCGCATTGACAAGGAAGGGGAATATGTTGAAAAATAAATGCGTTTTAAATAACCAGACTTCGGACTTACTGACAGATCCACGTACGAGGGTAAATCAATAAGTCCCTAGCCTGGCAGATTTGATAACTGAATTTGGACTTGACGTTTTAAATTCATAATCCCCGAACAATGATCACCGAAGTTAAGCAACGTCGATCTTGGTCAGTACTTAGATGGGTGATCGCTTGGGAATGCCAGGTGCTGTAATCTTGGCAGTGCGGGCGGTGTAATGGTTAACGTCTCGGAAGTATTAATCGGTGAGTCGAGTTTTTAATAATAATATATATATATATATATATATATATATATATATATATATATATGTGTGTGTGTGTGTGTGTGTGTGTGTGTGTGTGTATAGGCTTTTTTCCATAAGCGTTTTGCTTGTAAACAGAATTGTTCATAAGCATTTTTAGTTCTCACCAGTCGAGATGCAGTCGCATCGAAACAAGAATGCATCTTTGTAGTGAGTAAGATTTTTTGTTCGTATTTAAAAATTATAATAATAATATATATAGTCTTGGAATTACTTGTAATAGTTAAGTACTGAGGTTACATCATATAAAAGGCTGAATTAGATAGATAGCTAACATTATAGTGTAAATGACTCAACATACAAATCCATGTCCCTATCAGTCAAAACAATTAGGTAAACGTCCAAGCTTAGCTGAGCCTGGGTGTTGCCTTTACATTCATATATATATATATATATATATATATATATAGTATTACACATCAAAATACAAAATTACCTGATAGATCTATTTCAAACGATGAAAACTTCGTCGGTCTTATTCAACCCCGGTGTATAGACTGAATTCGTGTCGGAATTCGAAATTTAACTGTGTCAAAAAAATAACACAGAATTTTTTCATTTCATTGTTTCAGTCAGACGAAATGCACGAATGATGGTCGGGGGAGGGAGGAAGGGTTGTTAAGAGTTGACTTTTTCATTTTTATTATTATTATATTAATAATATTAACTACAAACTAGGCCACAATGTGCTAACCGTATTCGGAAAATAAAACACGCTAAAAGCATACACATAACACACACTCAATTACACTAAAAAATAAAACCATCCTTGATAATGGCTAAAAGTATATCCGAAAGCGCTCGAAACTTTAGAACATTTGGACAGTTTCTACACACTCTGTGGCCCAAAAAGAAAGCTCTTGTGCGAACACAAGAAAAATTAAATAAAAAGTTTAAAATTAGTATCTTGTCTGTCGTTTTTAATGAAACATGCATAAACGAAGGATTACTGCTTAAACACAGAAAGAAATATATATATATATATATATATATATATATATATATATATATATATATATATAAAGTAATTAATCGGGTCCAGAAGAATCCTCAACAGAATACAGAAAAGGACTGGACGGCCGTTTCGTCCTATTTTGGGACTCGTCAGCTTTGCGCATCCATTACCGAGAATCGAACACGAACCTACCCCTTGAAGATTGATAGCTGGTGTATTTTAAAGCTCTCATGAATTAAATATTATTCCCTATGGGATTTTAAGTATTTGATATTCTTTAATTAATAATAATTTTGCTCTGTCTTGGCATAGAGCTCTCCCTGGATCGATATCCTCCTGGAAATTCCATATTATATTATTACCAATTGAATATATATATATATATATATAAAGACACACACACACATATATATATATATATGTGTGTGTGTGTGTGTGTGTGTATAAAGTGGACATTGAAGTCAACACTCAGAGGCGGCCATCAGTCTGCAAATTTATTTAACTTTTTCAAAAAATTATTTAGGCTAATGGAAGTGTATTTGAATTATTTACTGTAATGTAAATTTATTTTGAGTTATTAAAGCCGATGGAAAATTATTTATAAAAAAAGAAACGACAACAAAACGAAAACAAATGAACATTTAATTATATTCCAAATCCCCGTTTGGATAATCAGTTCTCTTAAAATAATTCCCTTTATCAGTCCTCTTTATTTCCGCCATCATGTATCTTTTTTTTTCTTTTTTTTTTTTGGTTAATGGTTCATCAATCTTTTAAATTTCTTTTACGCTTAAAATTGTTAACATAACCTCTCCAGTAATGTGCATGCCGTATTTTGTTCGTTAACAAAAGAAAGAAAGAAAAAAAAAATCACCATTCTGTTCTATTCCGTCGTTACTGCATAATAAATCCCACTACGCATGCGTGAAATGTTGTCTCTTTCATTCGTTAAATTGACGCCATGATGGTTTCATGCTATGAACGCTCTAACGAGGTCTTTTATTTACTCTTCGCGGGCTTTTAGGGAGGGATTTATGTAAACTGTGTTTTATATTAAACATTCGCCTGTACTTTGCACTGATACTGGATCGTAAAATGTTTTTAAACAGCATCATTTGCAGGTTTTATTGGTTGTAGATATTTTGTTTCAAAGAAAGAGTGAATTTTCTTGAGTAGTAAGAAAGTAAACTTCTTCAAGATAAAACTTCTTCACAGACATTTCTTGTTTAAATAAATTAGAAGTAATAGGAAAGATATCTAGTTTAAATATGTTAGTACATCCACAACGGGTTCGGTACTGTGAAATTACAGACGCTGGTTTAGTTACGGGGGGCGATTTTTGAAAGACTTTATATCTATAGGCCGGTAATCATTAATTTAACTGTAAAAAGTTAGATAATAGTGTGTAATTCAATGACAAAATAAGGACAAAAATCTTAAGTTAGGGATATTGTCACTGGTAGAACGAAAGTCTTAAATGTGATCTCGTTCTTTCCCGATGCGAAAAGATAACACAGGGAGGTTTGTATTTTGTCATTCAATTACATATAATTCTATCTATCTCAATCCATCTATCTATCTATCTATCTATCTATCTATCTATCTATCTATCTATCTCGCTAGCTAGCTAGCTAGCTAGCTCAGTCCATTCCTATCTATCTAGCTATCTATCTCAGTCTGTTCTTATTTATCTATCTCAATTAAATATTTTTTACTCCCGACGTGTACATGTTAAATTATCTATGAACTATGAGTCAATTTTAACCATTTGACGCTACACCTTCTTTCCTCTTCATCTCTCGATATTTACCTTTCTTCTTGAAAATGCTTAGCGAGTGTCGAAAAGAAGATGAAGCATTACACACAATTTCTGCAAGTCCCTTTGCAATTTTCCACCCGGCAACAAATGACACCAAGAAAAATTCACCAAAAATCTTAACAGTCAGAACTTGTCTGTTTTATTTCGTTATCTTTAATGCTATGTTCCCTCAGGACGTAGCCGGTGATGGCTCTCCACAGATACATATTTGGAGAGCTCTTGACTGGGCCCTCATCACAACATGCAGGGAGGAGTAGACGTGATAGGCAACAATAAACTACGGAAGAACTCAAAATTAAACACTGCGTTTATGTATTGCATTAATATTTAAGCTTACCTTTTAAAAGTTCAGCGATAATTCTTCTGTTGCCACTTAATTTAAAGACAATTTGATGTACGTAAGTCCTTACTTTTCGTACAAAAAAAATATTATTATCTAATGGCTGACTTTACTAGATTTCGTAATTAATTTCAATTATTTCCAGATTTATTTCAAAATTAAAAAAATTGTTATCGTACAAAAAATTCTTCGCAAAAATCACGTAAAAAATCGCCGAAAACAATTAAAGTAATGAAAATTTGGGAATCTAAAATTTCAGGATTGCGTCTCTGGATCTGGCCGGAATGGTTTTAACTTGCTCACGGAGTCGGCCTGATTCCAAAATGGTATGATATGTCGGGATACGGCATCTAAGAGTAAAGTTGAAAACACGAATATTTTTATTTTGAAACATTGTAAATTGAGAAGTCATTTTTTCGTTTGAACATGAACTATTGAAAGTTAGAGAGTTATGACCCTTTAACTGTTTTTATCAGCAGAAACCAAGATGGCGGAATCCGAAAACAATCGCAGTAATGAAAGCTTAGGAATTCAAAATTTCAGGTTTCTTTGTTTTTAATCAGCTCACGCAGTCCACCTTATTCCAAAATGGTATGTTGGGGTACGGCCTTTAGGAGTAAAGATGAAAATGCGTGACACAGTGACACACTGATTGTAGCATTTATTATATGGATTAGATCATTGCAAAAATTTGTTCCCGATTCGAAAATTGAAACAAAAATTTTAGATACTCACAAGATAATTTATTAGTAGCCATTATTTTTAAGAACTGTCTCTTACCATTCTACAAGCTTCTAATACAATTTTCGTGTTTTTTGTTGGAAGAATATTGTGAGGTACTTTTCGACTGTCTGTGTAGAATCACAATTTTTCTCACTTAAATTGTTCTGTAGAGAGTGAAAGAAAAGAAAATGCGAAGGAGCCAAATCAGGAAAATACGTGGTTGCTTTCTTCCCATTTTAACTCTTCCAGAAGGTCTGTTTTGCCGCCTTGCTTTGACTTATGGGAAAAGGACATCTTTTCCATTCGCCAAAATCGGCCGTTTTTCGTGAACCTAAGTCTCTTTAAATGTCGAAAAACTGTTGAGAATATCGATTTTCAAACTTTTAGTAATCTTGTCCGTCGAAATATTCGCTTTATTCTCCGCGGTGGCAAACAGAGAATCTTCATCGATGTCGGAAGGTCGCCTGAAGCGTTGCATCATCGATGTCGGAAGGTCGCCCGAAGCGTGCATCATCGTTTAAGCTAAAATCAACCTCCGAATGTTGTTTCTTTGTCGCAGTTATGACGCTTCCTCCTTTCCGAAATTCATCGAGCATAGTATGGCGAATAGGCAATTTTTCATGTTCCGCCTTGAAAGCATTCATTTGTAGACACGACGTCAACATTCAACAAAGTCTAACACAAATTTGAACGATTCAAAGTTACAATCTAAAACACGACAGCAGTTGGCACCAAAACAAATGCCAGTGTCAAGTTGCAGTCATTTTATAGTAACAATGAAAATCGGGCAGCAACTTATCTATAGATAAATAGGAATATCCTGAGATAGATAGATATGAATATATATATATATATATATATATATATATATATATATATATATATATATATATAAGGGTAAAAAAGGGTAAAAAAAGAAAGAACTAAGTTTGAAATGGATGCTCCCACCCTATCTAAACATGACTTCTTTCCGTAGGTAACTGATATGTGGATAAAAATTATCTCTTAGGCCCCTTACCAAAATGGTCAACCCAGCCGTTTCCATAGTAATTAAT